ATTGTTTAGCTACAATATTAGACCCTAGGATTAGGAAAGATGGTTAAAATATTTTATTTTAAACATATTGTGAAAATATGAATATTGAAATTAGAAATAAAAAGGAAGAAATTAATAATTTGTTATTTGAAATGTACAGTTTGTATGAATATGAAACAATAGGAAATATTCCTACAACTTGTACAACATGTTTTACTTCTGATCTTGAGCCCAATAGTAGAAGAGAAAAGCTTTTTTATTTAATAAGTAGAAGGTAGAAATCTGCTACTTCTATAACAAGTTTATTTATTGAACTTAATTATTATTTACAAGCAAATTTTTCTAGTTTAGGTGAGAGAACAAATAATTTTGATATTTTAGCCTGTTGGAGTGAACATTTGAAAAATTATCCAGTTCTCGCCGCCATGGCATGTGATCTACTAACCCCTCCAGTATCTATAGTTTCATCGGAGTCTTGTTTTAGTGCAGGTACCAGGGTACTGGACGACAAGAGATGCTGCATGAACAATGAAAGTATAGAAATGTGCATTTGCTTTAACGATTGGCTAGATGCAGAAGATAGATTGCAAGACAAAAGATGGCATGATACAACACCGGATATTTCACTTGAAGCAGATGATGAAAGTCATGATTCATGAAATTGACTAGTTGTATAGAATTTTTATTTTTTTTCAAATTATTGTAAAATTTTTTAATTTTATTTAATTTATTTGCTATTTTTTAATTTTTTAACAATGTAATTTTGTATTTTCAATTTGTAACTATATTGTATTTTTTATATTTTATTAATTTATTCCATTTTCATATTTCATTCATCCAAGTATCCAATGATTCAATCATTCTATTTGTAATTTGTATCATTCAAATTTAAATGAAATAAAATTCCTATTTTTCTTTCAAATTGTTATTCCATCATTCTTATTTGATTAAGTATTTTTTTCATTTGTGTCAGATAACTTAGATTTCTCATTTCTTAATTTTTCAAATACTTCCCAAAGTTCAAAGGAAAGTTAAATATTTTAGTTTTACACTTTTACTTAAAAGAGAAATCAAATTTTCAAAAAAAAAGAAAAAAAAAATCAGTCTAGCCCAGTTCGGCCTAGGCCCAAGGCCCGCCCTGTGGCCCAGCCCGGCATGGCCTACAACCCGGCCCGCGGCATGGTATGAGCCTACATGGGCTTGGGCCATGGGCCATGGGACATGCCGGGCCGACCCCCAAAATTTTCATCAGGGAGAGTGGTACGACCCTTTACATTGGAGGAAGTGTTAAAATAAAGTTTCACCCAATCATAAATCAAAACCCACTTTTGTGAATACCAATACGTATAGATGAATATAATAGAAAAAATGTTGATTTGGCAATGACATGATGGTGTTTTAATAAACGCCTATCATGAAATGCCCACATAACAAAACACACACTGTATAAACTATATGATGATGCGATTGGAATAATTTGAATTTAATCCACCTCAAAATTCATAATGCGATAAATAAGTGTTAGTGGGAACTTTCCCAATTCACCGGAGGATGCTATTTATAGGGAGTGGGTGGGATAAATACATTTGTGGAATTAATTTCTCAATTCTGAGCTAAAAAGGCCTATTTTATTCAAGTCTAGCTCAGTCTTCAGTGTCAGCTACGTTGGCCCCTTTCGTTGTTCAGATAAAATTGGTGGGTTCAGCCCAGTCTCAAGAGAAACTGGTTGACATGTTGCACCAGTCCATATTCTAGAACTATGATATGCATTTAAGCCAATTTCAAATACATTATATTAATTGGACTGTTCTAAAATGCATCATATTTGATGTAATCAACCTGTAAATAAGGATTCGTTGAGGCTATGTTTGGTTTGAAAGAAAAGATAGAAAAAGAAAGGAAAATTAAGATAAGAAATCAATACAAGGGTTATAAAGATTTTCCTATCTTTTTTTACATTTTTCTTCAAACTAAACATGACCTTAAGGATTGATCTAGATGCCTCTACTCTCAGACTCATATCATCAGTAATTTTTTAGCTTTCTTCTTATTCTATTTTGCTCTTTCTGTAATTTTGTGGCACCGATTAATATAGACCAATGGATTGGAGTGAAGTTTATTTTATAATACAGCTTTTCGAGGATCATGGATGAAGTCATCAAAGCATTTGCATTAGGTGAGTGGGTGGGTAGGTTGGGTTGGGGTCCCCCACACTGAGGTCGGTGGGGGTTCCTTATTCCTTTTAAACCTTTATAGATTATAGATAAATTTGTACATTTATAGATATATCATATTATAATAATTTAGCGTTTCTTTTTGTTGTTTTATGGCTTAATCTTTTTTAGAATTAAAATTTCAATAAAAAGAGAAGGTACCATAGGGAGTGAATCCCCATTTAGAGAATTACAGGCTAAGCAGCCAAGGAGTTACTCTATTGGATATGTCATAGGGATGAAAACAGATGAGGTTGGATTCGAATGTCTGAATCCAATTCGATAATATAAATATCAGATTCGATTAGATCTTATAAATATTGATTTGAATACGATTCTATTAATAAGGATGCCAGATATTTAAATTTGGTTTGATTAGATTTAATTTTTAAAAATTTAATAATAATTTATTAAAAGAAAAAAAATAAAAATTTATATAAAAAAACAAAAATACAAACATTTTCTCAACTATTTTCATCATATATATGTTTTTTATAAAAAATAAATAATATAAAAAATTACAAAATACAATATAAACATATAAATAAATAAATAATACACACGCAGAGGATATCCGAATCAATCCAATCCAATTTTAATAAGATTCTATTATCTGATCTCATTCGATCCGAACCGAAAATCCCAAAGGGGATATTCGAATCCAACAAAATAAAATCAAATTTAAAGATCCATTTGCACCCCTAATCTGCCATATATGAAATTTGGGGCCTTATTGCCTGTTTAAGCCTTTAGGGGACAGATGAAAGCAGAGGCCCACTCAACATAAGAAGCTGGGGGAGGTTGTTGAAAAAGAAAAAACAATTACATTTTGCTGAAACATGATTAACAAACAAATAGAACGATTGATACCTGACTTTATTTTTGAGTTTTATATTTATATCGGTGTGCTAGCTACGTATGGTGGGGGAGGTTGTTGAGGACAGACCCACTTGTAATAAATCAATAATAATTCAGAGTTGTTGGGGGGTACGCGTGCAATCAATCGTTGGGCAGAAGAGAGCTAAAGACCGACCTTGTCATGCTCATGCTTGCTGCCCAACCCACATGCAAATGCACAGGACTCAGGCCTTACCAGAAGATGTTAGGTCATGTCGTCGTAAGAGATTAGGTTTGCCGATTGGATGGAACAAGCTGGGATTCTCCCTATTTATAATGTTATTGTCATTCTCCATGTTGGAACGTAGCGAGTTTTTCCCATCCACACATTTTGCTGTGAAAAAGGAAAATACAAAGGAAATCCAATGCTACTTAACAAACAGCAGAACAAGTGTAAACTTCAAGGTTACCGGTTTGAAGTTTGCAATGGAGAATAACTTTGAGCTTTGTCCTTAAAAAGTGCTAACTACTTACCGGTTTAAACCTTCCACTACTAATCAAGATCGATTAAACAGGAGGATCCTGATTCCTGAATGATAAAAGTTTAAGTAGTCTTGGTTCCTTGAAATCATGGACAGAGAAGCACGTCTCAAACCTCTCGTTTGTGTCAAAGAATGTGAAACCTACAAGCATCTCTTTACTGGGAGATTTTGATTTAAGGGTAAGGGCGCCTAAATGTGATAAAAAAATTGGGCCCAGGTTGGACCACCACATGGACTAGTGGGAAGACAACAAATGGCCGAGTTGAAGACCACCATGTAGTCAAGGGCCCCAATGAGGTGAGACACGTGGCAAATGCTGGCCGAACTCCGATCAACCGTCAAGGTTGGTGTAACCGCCTCCCAATCTACTTGTCCCACCTTTGGCGGACTACGTTACTTGCATTTCGGTCCTAATGGCTCGATCGGGTGGAGACCACTCCATGGCATGTCACCTATATAAGGACACACCACCCAAGGTGAGATATCTTATGGGCACTCTTACTACCAGAACTCTCTTGGCTCATTTGCTCTTTTAAACTCTTAAGCCTGTACCGCTAAGCTCAGCTTAGTCGAATAGGGATCCACCTCAAAGCCTCTGACTATATACGTAGAATTCAGATCAATATCTAGCAGTATTGGCCAATGGATCCCCAAGGAGGTGGGAGTTAATGCCTGAACTCACATTTGAAAAGGGCCAGTGGGGCTTTTAATATTTATTATTTAAGCATGCACCGACAGGGTCATCAGTATTGCTTCTAAAGAGTAAAGATAGATCCACGTTTGGAACTTACGTAGACCGTGACTTCTAAAGAATGTAAAAAGGGTACGCGAAGGGTTCTGCAATCTGCACCATTCCAATCAAGTTTAGTAAGAAGTGGAGACTGGAGAACAGTTATGAAGAGAGACTATCAAAGATTGCCAGAATTTCCCTTGTTGGGATCTCAATGAGTGCAACAACCTGAGTAATTCGAAGTCTGAGTATGACGATCTATTTAAGTTGGGTGAGGTACTGAGGTGACTGGAGTCTGGGTCTGACGTTTCATGGATATGTCTGGGAAAACTGCTTAGGTCCATCATCCATGGCTGATCCTGTTCCCTACCTAGCCCAACGCCCCAACCTGAGTGATTTTTGTAACACTTCCTGGCACTAACCTGTTGTAGGACTCGACCTTATTTAATCTTCCAGTGTAATATTATGGGTTTCAACTTGCTAAAAAATTACGTCAAGTAAAGGCTTCGAGAGTTGTTCTAACAAAATGAAATGGCGGAAAAAGAATGTAAAAAGCCTCTAAAAAGGTTTGAGCCATGGGATCTGTTTTTTGTGTTTTAGATTCTTTTTTTTTTTTTTTGAAAGCCTTTTCTGTGTGGTGATTAATTCCACGGATTTCTAAACTACAAGGATAAAACCGACTTTGCTTGGCACCTCACAGATGAGAAAACTCCTTTTTAGGAAAAAATCCACTTGCGATTGGTTCCAAGTCATTCAAATGTAGTACAATTCAACTCAGTGATGGAAGGAAAATGTTTTCCTCCTCTTGAGTATTTACAACATTTATTCTCAAATTTTGTGTAACAAAAAGAACTTTACTCGTAGCATTCTCGGCATCCTCCCCATGTTTTGGAACAACCAGGTCAGCCACAAACACTGATCTATCAGAAACATATGTGTATACATCTGCTATGATATTGTGGTTGCTCTTTGGTTGGGTAACCAGTTTCAGGGATCAAGTTCCAGGCATCAGGCCTCTGGATAAAGGATGTTGTGTGGAAGAACCTTGTAAGGGTTTAAAATCCCATTAGGGTCCAGTAACTTCTTGATCGAAGCCATTACTTGCACCTACAAAAAGACCAGATATGGTTCAGACTAAGACATCTCTCTGGAGCACTAAACATTCTTTCTGAAATATGCCTGACAAGTGAAAAAAAGAAACAGAATGGCCTTGTATATATATGCACGAATTTTGTTCCAGTGAGAGGTCCCTCACATGTGAGGCTTTTACCTGATATGAGTCACATCTGTCACCAAACCAATGACTAAAAATCCACTTCGTTTGAAGGGCACAAGGGAAATTTTATTTAATCACAAACCGTTAGTATTGATAATACCAAAAAACACCATTAATCTCTTATGTGCACAGGCCTGGGCACAACCGTTATTTCTTCACAAAAAATGGTTAAACTTACGGCACAAGGATCTGTAGTACAGGTACTTACAGTTTGGGGTGACTTGCTGTAATGAATTTCATTAGCTTTCATCAGTCCTAGGCCATGCTCTGCACTGATGCTTCCACGGTGTTTAGATGTCCATTCATAGACAAAGGGCTCAATTTTTGCTAAAACCTACAATTTTCAATATAAAATTAAGGAGCTCAAGAGAAGATATTCAAGGGCACAGAAGATTCTTTCAAAATGTAGGAGAAGGAAATTACAGAATCATCATAATTAGGTCTTGAGATATTCAGGTGCAAGTTACCATCTCCAAGGTGGCCATATCCTAATACTTTTTCTGACTGACCTGCAATTTCCAAAATCTGACTGAAAATGTAATAAAATTTTGTTCTGTTTTCTGACAGCTATTTCCATGATAATAAAGCTACCATGTTAAACTATACTTTAGAAGGAAAACATTGTATCCACATTTAAAAACTTTCATTAATTAGGAAATGATGATGATATATTCCTAACAACAATAGCTGTAAAACTATATGCACAATATTGTAGGTGCGACTATCAATTACCAAGTCGTAATCGCATTTCCTCAACAATACTGTACATCTTTTCGATGGGCAATGATAAATCATACTTGTAGACAGCCCCTGCTTTCACCAATGCTTCTGATAAACCCTGTGACCATATAGAAGAGTCTTGTTTAGGAATTTGTTTCAAGATCATAACAAACATAATCCTATGCTTTGCTCATCCTCCCAAAATTAGAGTATATCAATTATACCATGTCATAAAAGGTGAATTTCATATTGTCATAAGCAATACCAAGAAGACATTAATTTCTATGACATGGCAACTGTTAGACAGTGTATGCCCTTAACTCCAATCAGAATGATGTACCTTATGACATTTAATGTAAATGAATAAAGTACATATTTGATTCATGTTATTAT